ACAATTGTGGAAGATACAATTCTTATTCTGCTAGAGTGACAAAACAGTGGAAGTGACATAATGTTCAGTTCTGTACCCTAATTCCACTGCCCACGCAACGCCAGAACATTTTAAACGCAATTTCTTTCTCTTCTATAGAACCACTCTCATAATCTACTAAATAATATTTCTATTGTCAATCACTTTTGTTTTTTTTAACCAGCTAAGTGCCATTTATTTCACCATTCACACCAAACCTGAATGTGCAAAGGAACTAACAATAAGAACTTTACTTCAATACACATATATATATTAACCTTTTCTCCAGTTCAGAAATGTTATGAGCTGACTTAGCTATTAGCTAACTTAGCTACTTGACTTCTTATGAAATATTTATTAACAAAATGTTTCCAGCAAGTTAGTTTGATCTCCTCTTGACAATTTCACACTGTCAGTAAGACACAGAGCCCCCCATGACGTCCCATGCTGTCAGCTGCCAACACGGCAGTGGTTTGAAACATGCTGGGGAAGGTTACAAACCCCTCCCACTGCCTCCTCACCTCTGGGATTAGCAGGCAGCCTTCTCTGCCACTTTTTCATGCCCAAAGATATTCCTGATACTCAGTTGCATCAAGCCCCACAGGTATTGCAGGAGGCACGTGTTCCTTGCTGAGAAACACACAGTGAGTGCTGATACGAATATTTTCACCTACAACAGCTCAGAAGAAAACAGAACAGATGAAACTTGATAGAGCTACACAATGCCAAAGAACCCAGTGTAGTATTTAACAGGAATATAATATTTACTCATTCACATGCTCTATTAAATTCAGAAGATAGCATTTTGATGTATTATTTTTGTATTGGAAACACAAAGGTACTTCAAGTATATCACAGTATCAAGGAAGAGATTTCCAAGAGTTTCCTATTTTTCCTTAGACAGTCAGCCGGGATGGACTGTTTACTAAGAATGCACTTATTTACTGAGCCCAAAGTTCGTCTATCATGGGCTTGTTTTTATAGTATGCACAGATGCAAAAATGAGTCAATTAATGAATAAAATTAATCTACTTACACAGTGTGCTCCACAATTTTGTTCAACTACTCTGCCTCCTGTAACCATTTTCTGCATGCAAGTGTATGATTAAGTGGTGAAATATTCCTAGAGATTACTTCAACATGGCTGAAGCGTGCAAAATTTCCATTACACATTCTGTAAATAAATCCATTCAAACTGTGTTGAATATTTATCGAAATATGTATTGTTAGTCACTTGATATATGCCTGATATTTCTGCTACCAAACACAAGCCTTTTTATTGTGTATTTGTAAATACCTGCCAGCAGCACACTGCACCATGGGATTTACAACTGTGAGGGTAGAATGCCATCTGCTGCTACACTTGCTGCTACAGCAGGATAGAACAGAAGAATCATCATACAAGTGCTGCCTTCTGGTTTCTCTTAACTGCAAAATGTATACAATGACTTTATTAAGAATTGAAAATGAAAAAAACCACAGCTAGGAGCTCAGAAGATTTACACAGTTCTCACTGTAAGATCAGCTAAAGGAATGGGATACGGAGCACAGAATTCTATCAATGCAAATGGAGGCTGTTATATCCAGCCTATGAGAGCAAAACAAAAACAAGAAAAGAAAAAAGGAAATGTAATTAGTGTAACTTGACTGCAAACTAAATTATGCTGGTACACACTGTAAGCAAACCATTAGAAAAGGACGTCTTGAAAATGCATTTGTAACGAACTAGACTTGCTAGACTGGGTCTAGAATTTAGAAACAGCCTTTGAAGGGTTTGGCACCCTGGCAAACCTTCCACTTTCCTGGGCTGGTCACTGACAACACACAGGTCACAACCATAAGCAGAACGTGGAATCTGATATAGCAACAGTTTGATTCATGCCCACTCACTGAGAGGAGAAAAAAATACTACCACCACCACCATCTTCTCTTGAATTCAACCTACAGTTTCACACTGAGCCCTTTGGGTAAAAGCTAATTCTTTCTGATCTAATTGCTCTTCAATAAATCAAATGGAAACATCAGGCAGCACTTCACTCGATAACAAACCATTTAACCTTCCACACAATGCAATCACAGAGCTAGTCTTATGGTTATTCAAAAACGCATTGCTGAGTCAGATAAATTCAGAGGCACTGAACTCAAGGGTGGTTTGCAAACGTATAAATTTTGCATTTTATCTCCTGACAAGGGAGTTCCAGGTGTGCACTGCTTTACCCACACTGAAATGCTCCCAGCCTTCCCTAATGAAGGACATGGAGCTTAGGCAGTCAGCATCCCAACAGTGTTACAGCACACTGTACTGACTGGACTTCTCCACAAAGTGAGAGCCCAGTCAGTCAGACCAGAAAACCATACAATCAAAATTCTCAAACCTGATGAAAACTGGACAAAGAGACAAAATAATCCGGGAATTAGAGATCAGATTAACAGCAAATACAGCCACTTTGCCTCTGAATTGCCATCGGTAGGAGTTCTGCTAGTGGAAATACCAGTAAAAATGTGCTATGTACCTTCACTTAGCACTAGAGAATCGTGCCATATTTAAAAATAACAAACCAGCTTTGACAATCGAAAGGAACACATCATTTTCATGAGATGGCAATTCAGTATAGTGCAACACTATTTTTCATTCTAAGTAAGGAAGTATTCCATGAAGCTGAAGTACAGTTCAAACCCAAAGGGATAAAGGAATTCTTGAGATTGGTGCCAATCACAAAAAAGGATACAGCACTACAGCAGTAAAATCAGATCTCAGTCACTGTCACAACTCTTGCTAAAGATTCGCTTGGGGCTCCCAACAGAACTCTCAGTCTTTCCCAAGATCAATTGATCTCATCTTACTGACATTCTCTTTATAACATCTATATTATGACTGTCCCCTACAGTTAAGGTGAATTAACTGCTGCTTCTTCAAAAATGCATCTTACTTTTCCCTCTTTTGTACTTAAAATGCAGAAAAGCTAAGTAATGAGAGAAATACAGTGGAAACCACGTAAATGAGTAACTGTCAAAAGAAAAGAACTATTAAAAGAATAAATCTTGCGTACCCAGCTGTGAAATATAACACAATATAGCAGAACCCAGCTAAATGTTTGAAATAAAAAATTGAAATGCAAAGTAACCGAGGATTGTTTAATGAAGATAGCTGTTAAAATATTCACTCCTCGCATGCTTAAACTTAAGAGCACAATGACACCACACCAGTAAATTACACACCTATCCAACCAACCACCGCTAAGCTCACAGCTTACGTGGCTCCAGGTGTGCTGTCAGGTCCATTTCTCCACAGGCCTGCTCCATTTTCACGTCACTCTTCAGAGCAGACGTTACCTCTGAGGTGTGCTGAGGCTGCTCCCCCACACACGTTTGTGAAACCAATCCAAGAACCACAGAATTGCCAGTTCTACTTTTTCATTACCAGCCTGTGGTACCTGGGCATCCAAAGGCATCAGCTGAAACAGCCTTTGGTAACAAAAAAAGGAGACGTTTTCAGGATGGACTTTCAAGTTAAATGATATTACCATAGCTAATTTCTTTAGGAACCCATCAGCCATTTTTTGTTTGCCTAAGTATCTTCCAGGATTTTGTTCTGCTTAGATGCCAATTATGCTAATTGACCACTATTAAACATAAAACATCAACATAATGCTTTTCTAATTACTTTGTCACTTGAAATTTTTCTCAGATGCGTATGCTATGCTGTGGCAAGTTTGTAAAATACTTTCTGTTCTTGGATCATTAATTCCTCACTGTAACAAAAGCAAATTGAAAGTGCAAGGTAAGAGTTGTCTCAGGGTCCCTGAAGATTGAAGCTATTGTACTCAGAAATAAATTTTTATATGTATATATGATGCACGGCCTCTTAAAATACAGTATTTTCTGATCCAAATTCTCACATTGTGCACATCTCTTTACCAGGACTGATTTCAAAGAATTAACTACAACTTTAATCAGCTAAGAGTATTTTTTTTCATATTACTTTATTACATTTTCATGTTCTTCTATGATCAGTTCCTTGAAATCTTAGTTCCATAACAATTCAAAAAGTTATTCTCACTCTTTCCCAATACTGAAACACAGAGTAACTAGATCAGAAGTCAGCAGGCCACTTCATTTGTAAGTCTATATATGAAAACATTGTATTATTAATAAAAACATAGCAGGAGACTGCTAACACCGCACAGCCTCAGGGCAGATGAAGAATGCAAGAAACAGGAAAAAATGCAAAGCTTGTTATCCCACTATAGACTGCATGCCCTTTTTTGTGTGTTAGCTGGTGTAAATATCAGGATCAACGATGCATGCCCTTTCTCATATGCTCCTGGTGTAACATAGGTAACAATGGGTGTAAACAAGGATCAAGCGTGTCACATCCTTTCTACCTGCCACAGAGTATGTATGTAATTTGCAATACTCCCTAGCATACTCCTTAACCTCAAAGTTTGCACAATAGGGACTACAGCACACATATTTTAAATCTAAAGCTGCCTCTTTATTCCTAGTTCTAGTCTAAAAGTCACCCAAGCTTTCAGTGGTTGTCTAGCAGCTCCTCTACACTCCTTTGTTTGCAAGACTCTCAATTAGTAGGAAGGAAACAGCACAGAAAATAGTAACCACAGCTCACAATCAATAAAATTAATATTCCTATAGGAATATAACAACAAAAATATCCAGTAGCTCTCCAATCATATCTCAACACTGAGTATGGCAAGAGACATGTTTGCCTTTAGGCTTCTTCCATTCCTCTTCAGCAGAACTTTGACATGATAGCAGCCTTACTGACCCCTTCACTACTCAAGATGGTGACAGAGGAAAGATCACGGTCACTGCAATGGCTGCACTGCACAGAAACACACAATTCTGGAACACCCACCATCCAAACAATGGATTGAGACAGTTGAGTTCAAATACTAATTGATGTGAATACCAGTCGATACTAAAACATTATAAATACAGAAATGAAATCAAGCAATACTTACTGACAGGGTAATTCTCCATCCATAGCATCATGTTCAACAGAGCTAGTGTACATTACTCTTCCCCCCACGAAAGTACCCACAAAGTAGACAGGCCGTGCCAGACGTCCTAACATTAAAAAGAAAAGAACAGTTAGTGATGACAAGCCATTATGGTAGTACAATACACTTCCATAAGGCATCAGAGCTTTCTTAAGGTATCATAGACCATAGAATGCTCTCAAGAGAATGGTTAAGTTTCTCATCTTCTCAGACTTAAACCCTACCCAGAGAACTCAACCAACATTCTGAAGAGAACTGACAGATAAACTACAACAGCTTACTAAACTGGATGCATTTATATACAAAACAGCACAGAACCAACTTAAAATACAAATCACATACAAACTCAAAAAACAAATTCACCATGCTCAAGATAAGACATATAATTAATCTAGTATCTTCACAGCTACAAATTATTTCACAGAATACAACTGTGGTGCAGCTGTATCTACTTAACAGCATTATGAAACAGTTGAGACTTTCTAGTCTGCTTCCTTTCTTTGCTCTATTTAAAATAATTACTTGTAACGTCCAACTAATATCTAAAGTCTTGTTTTGAATGTGAAAAATCATTTGTACAAAAGAAAAACTTTATTTTCTTAAGTCAAGCATATTCTTAATGAAAAGAAGTTCTAAACCACTACGTACTTCCAGAAGTCTCTGCTTCATACTACCCCATCATTCTTTCTGATCCTGCAGATCCTTCAGCTTATGTATTTAGCACAGACCATAAAGATGCTAAATACTGAAATCCAGCTTTCTAAGTACGGAATCCAAGTTTACAAACACCAGACAAAGAATTATTTTGGCCTCTGTTCTGCTGGACGCTCACTACCACACTGCAAAGTCTGGATTATTTTAACCTCTCTGGCAAGTTAGGGTGTCATACTTCTATGATCTTTGACCTACTTCTACCTACAGAAGCCAAGCAGATTCCTGCTTCAGCTTTTTAAGCTGTGAATCCAGTACCTAACAGCATCCTCTCTCAGCAGAGCAGTGTCAAAGCTAAGATCCAAATGGCAAACTAACATACAAATCTGTACATATTTTGGGACACCTACAGACTCCTTCCTCAACTGAAATGCACAGAGACAACAGAACACTAAAGCTACTTTTAGACTCCATCTTCATCTGGCAAAAGGTACTTTGTAATGAATTCCAACAAAATTTAAAACAACAACACAGCTAAGACAAATAAATTGGAACAGTTTCCATGCAGGTTACATCAAGTTAGAAATAAGGGTTCTCACCAAGTGTGAGATTTACATAAGCCAGATCTCTTACCGTCATCACTAGGATTTTACCAAGCGATGACAGCATAACTTACAAGAGTGAATACAGCACACTGATTAATAAAGTCTGAAGTCTTCAGAACACATTTTGAAGTTTAACATAAACAAAAAATTACAGATAAACAAATGAGGTCACATCACAGCTTTAAACCAACGTTCTATCTTGAATATTTCTATGTACAAGCGGGGACTGCTATAAGAACAGTACCTGTCAAAATCTCTGAGGTTTTGTATCAAGTCTGTTTCACGTTCTCTGATAAACTACTCTCCATTCACACAACATCAAATATTACCCAATTTCCTCGCATTAAGCATGGTTGTATTTTGGAAAAATCCAGAAATGAGAAAGCAATGAATGCTCTGCTTCCCAAGCTCTTTCAGTGAGGAACCATTAACAGCTCTGAGATGTTCCAGTATCTTTACGACCTGAACGTGGTTTATCACATGACAATTCAACATAGTAATTGTGCTTCAGTTACAGACCTATGGTACAGTGCATTCTATACATCTAAGTGCTGCAGGCACAAGAAAACCTCATGACATAACAAAGATGGGGGGGGGATCAAATATACACTAAAAGATAATGCTGAATATGGAATAATGCAGACCATTTCAAGACAAGTTTGGGCTTATCTTAAATCTCAGTTCTTTTTTTTTTTTTTTTTTTAATTACCACAGAAATACATACACAACAAGATCTGGAACTGAAAACAGAGAAGTGTCAACTTTTAAGATGAGATGTGATGAAAACTCGTAACCATCTTCTTGCATTTTTGCTGTTCCATTTCCAAATAATTATTATCTGTAAGGGCAGTTGACACCACTGACCCACAACCAACATAAAATACAACATTTCCAAGCGAAACTTCATCAAACACACATCATAGATTGCAGTACAAACAGCTGTTAATCTAAGACATGGAGAGATTAACACCATCACTAACTAAATACCGAGCAGCTGAAGCGTCTGAGAGAACAATTAGAGCTCAAATTAAATCAGCATTAACAGCTACTAAAGAATAGCACTTTGAAGATAGTACGACAAACTATGAAGCCTCTTCAAACACCATAACAATCACTTTGCCCAATGATCTTTTTCAAAATAAAAACCCACATCACATCCTCTTGCAAATGGCAGCAGCTTGCGTTTAGTTACACGATGAGACGCCCTCTTCTCTCAACAACAATTAAAAGGTTTTAACTTCTTTCCCTCTTTTAGATCCTAAGTACTTAAAATGCATTTGCTTTTGTAGCTACCTAGGCAGACAACATCTTTTCTTTTAGAAAATAATTACTGCAGTAATAATCTGTAATTATGGTTTATAACAGCAATAATCCCAAAGAAATGAGTCATTACCACAGATCACGAGTAATCATTAACAACTGCTAATGACCCATTTCTTGGGGATTATGTTTTAGTAAACCATGACCAAATCACTATTGATACTGAGAGCAAGACAGTATAATAAAATGGGATCTTAATATGGTATTAACTTATTTTGCAACATTAAAAGCCATTAAACATCTAAATTTAACTACATATGTCTAGGGAATGGAGCAGCTATTGTTCTCCGTGAGCACAAGTGTTCTGTTTACACAAAAGAAACACAAAATTTAAACTGCATCAAGTATTTCCTAATGCATAGAGGCACAGTCCCCAGAGCACCGACACTGAAGGATTCCAACTCATTCCATCCCTCTGGTCCCCCTTATTGGGTAATGCAGTGTAAACTCAGACTGCAGCTAGTCAACAAAATCAGGTCAGTCAGTGGAAGTTCTCCCGCATAGAAGTTGCTGAGTGCATGGGAGAAAGTGGAATAAATAAAATCAGGTAAGTGAAAGGTTTTATATGCATCAATGAAAAAATAGCTCCTACATAGAAGGAATTTGAATTGTCCATGGAAGAACAGCAAAACGTATCATAAATATTTAAAAGCATGCAAAGAAACAGCTGTGTAACAAGTAAGCTGTTTCACCTTGTAAAAACAACACCATTTATCCGTGTAAAGATGCAACACATGTAAGATAATTTATTAAGAAAGAGCCAGTAGTTGTAAAGATAAGTTAGGTGAGATACAGAGCTCTGAAAAAGGTACCCAAAAATACATCAGAAGTACTACTTACTTTTACAACTTACACAGTAACAATTGGGTTTCTTAGAAGTCTGGTAATTCATCTTAACATAATTGTTTAACGTAAGCTAAAGTTTTAAAAGTAAATTTAGTTTTTACAGATGGATAAATGCAGGAAGAAAAAAGTTAAGATCTTCAATTCCAGAAAATGCTCAAATAGCAGCTGGCTCCTATTAGGCACCTGGGGCACTGATAGGTTGATGTTCAGAAATTTAAGGAGTTTTTAGAGCTCTCATGTCTATACTTTAAAGATGTAACAAGATATTAAAGGTATCAACCGTCCATCTATCTATTCAACATAAAGACAACCAGCGAAAATGTGGTGCAAGGTCACTTGGAACATGAATTTCTAGTTCCAGAAAAGATGGAAAGGCATCTGCCATAAGATCATTGTAAAACCATAAATCTTTCATATGCAAGGATATTTATACTGCACATAAAACAATCTAAACATTAAATACTGACCTTCCTGGACTGTGACTTCTAATGGATTCCTACTAGAGGAGTGCAATAGTTTTCGGTATTTTTGGGCATTTTGGTCAAACAACTGTCCAAGAAGTGTACAGATCTTTTCACATCCACACCTGCTAACTGCATAGTTGCTCCACTTGTTGGAAAACTGTAGCTGGATCATCCAGTGAATCTTCCAGGCCATCTCTAGAATAGAAATAAAAAGTAACCACTTAATCACATTGCCTGAAAGCTCCTTCTTCGCTTTCCCATCCGGATCTTGCCCAACTGTCACTGAAATGCTGAGCTGTATATAAAAGCCATAGCACCTGGTGTACACAACAGACAGATGTAAGCCCTCATTTTAAATACACACATACCCCTCCCCACCCATCAGAACAGTATTCTATTTGTGCTACCCTCTTAATGTACAGCTTAAAATGCAAAGAACTACAAGGCAGATAGGAGATGAGATTGGCAGTATGAACGCAAAGGTAAATCCTGAAAATCTGAGGTCCTTTGTGCCTATGCCTGAATATACAGGCAGCATATTTCTCACAGGATGACTGTGGAAAAGAATGGAATACGCAGCGGAAGGGGATTTTGCACATCCATCAAGTTAAGTACAAGACCATGATATCAAAGCCAAGAAGTTTCAGTAAAATTCTATGCAGTTGCTTTATAAATGTTTATTATGGTTTCTTCTACAAGAAATACCTCTAACAAAAAGAGCAATAGCTCTTCCTGTGAAGTATAACTGTACTTATTACACAAATCACAGTAGGAGAAGTTTACTCATCAGCAGGTTAATCTGCTGCTGCACAGGCAATGAACAATCTGTAGAGTCTTCAGAAATGTTTCACTGGGTACAGATAAAGCATCATATTTTTTGTAAAGGAATGTAAGCATGACTGCAAGGTGAACACAGAGCTCAGGAGTCAATCAGACAAGCAGGCTGTGAAAATAAAAGTCTACACTGAACTTTAAAACCCAAAAGAAACAGCAAAGAAAGCTGAAATCTCGGTGCTCGGGCTCTACTTTAGGTAGAAAGGCAATCAAATCAGTGAGCACACTGACCGTGGAGCATTGTAGAAGGAAATTACTTCTTTCCAGGTAGAATACATCTCCTTGGAATTGAAAGGTTTACTCATAGTATGGATGGAGGTTTCGTCTCTTTGGCTTAGAGCCCACATGGCTCATGCAGACTGGTTTCCTCTGCATGTGGACATATGAATGTGCCCAGTGCTAACACCTCAATTTGGAAAGATATAAAACAGCTGGGCATCCTTCTCTGAATATATAACCTCCTTAATGAAGGGTGATATTATCACCCATACTGGCTTGTAAGGAAAATGATCACTGCAGAAAGCAAGACCTACTGACAAAGATACCAATTAACGTCCTTGGAGCAAACAGAATCCTTGACAGATCAGCTCCCAGACATCCCGTGTTTCTCAAGAACTGTCTAGACACTTACTATCAAAGACTACATTTGATACAGCTGTCTATTGAAATGCCATAACAGGATCTTCGTCACAAAAGAAAGTACGACAACGTCAGAAAGATACACCAGTTAGAGCAGCAGGAGGTTACATGCTCACAGCAATGTCAGGACTGTCTTAAGAACGACACAGAGTGCAGAAAAGCAGAACAGAAAATATGACTTAAAATTGTCAAGGAAGTTTAATCTGCCTGAGACATGGCACAAGAAAACTAACTGCATATACACCAAGCTGCTGCTTCTTCCTGTTTCTAGCTTTGGAGTGCTGGAGGCACACAACTTTGAGTCATCAGGAATCTTTAACGTACCTCACGCAGGTAATACCAACAGCAGCTTAGCCACTAAAAAATGAGATGAGAAGAGATGCATGCATGAGATTTTGGCTAAGTTGAGACAAAAGGATAACAATGGTGAAGCTGAATGTACTTCCTCACACAAGCAGACCAAATATATCTCAGCAAAAGAAAACTGAGAAAGAAAAGCAGATGTGGCTTATTCCGCAGTCCTGCAGTATCTCATTAACAGGTATCCATGAAAGCCCTCAAAAAACTAAATCCTTTCAGAAATCTGAACAGGACAGTTTCCTGGATCACACATCATTACCAGTGAGGAGATCTCGTGTCACTACCAGTTGGTGCCAAAACTGCAGCCCATAGGGTGATGAGACACAAATTTCCCATTCAAGAAAAAATTCAAAATGCCCCCTCAGGAGGTAAAGAGATGTGCTCAGTCTTTGGGACAGGAAATGGGTGATCCGTCTGAACTTGCTGGAAACTGGGCAAACCATCAATTCTGACTGGTGCAGTGTGACACAGACTAAGAGGAAGGCTCAAACTTCCAGACTCATGCAGAAGATCATGACCTTTCTCCTGCAACATGATAATGCCAAGCCCCATACCAGTCTGAAGAACATGCAGCCCATTGCCAACCGTGGCTTCTAAGTCCTGCCACAACCACTGTACAGTCCAGACTTGGTGCCTTCGGACTTGCATCTGTTAGAACTCATGAAAGATGGACTGTTTAGGCAACATTTACCTAGCAACACCAATATCATAGCAGCTGTGAAACAGTGGAAGACCTCCACTGGTGCAGATCTTTAAAAGGACACCATGCAGCTCTTGTTCACTGCTGGCAAAAATGTAGAGCAAACGGTGGGTACTAGGCTCCAAAACAGTGTTTACTAACTGAGAATTTTCTCTATCAAATAATGCTAATGTGCTCTTCAGCTCTCTGTTGTAGTTTCCATGGAAATAAACAGGAGGCATTACTTTCAGAGCAACGTGCATAGAAGGAAAAAAAGGCTTTTTTAAGAACAGAAGAGACTGCAAGAGGAATAAGAGCTAGAGCCAACATTTGATATTGACCTGGATTTAGTAAGCAGAGTAAATGGTGTCAACCAATTAAGATATTGCCCTGGTAATCAGAATCAGAGTTTTAAACATAACCGAAATGTAACACACTGATACAACTGAAAATTAAACATTCTGTGTCACAGTTCCAACAGTTGCAATTACAAATTTACCTTACTACTGCAGGAACACACTCCAGTCTGGAAGTAATATAAGCTTTTGTTATCTCAGGTGCACACGGATCTAAGAGGCAGGGTTCTGCTGTTTTCACGAAAGGTACAGATGCTTCCATTCTTTGCCACAGAGTTACCAAATAACAAACGCTATTTGGAGCAAACTCCCAGTGCTGTAAGAAACCAAAACATACATCTGTTAAAGCACCCCAGAGTGAAATTTTACTTGTGAAATACAATGCTTTTATCTTGAGCAGTTTTATTCACTCACCTAAATACTGAAGGACCCTGTCAGAATCGAGATGTTACGGAACACACCAGAGACCACGCTCACACTTACTGCAGTGTGCTACCCACTGACACTCTGGCCTACAGGAGCAGCACCCTACTCCTGGGTATTATCTTCCACTGCTGTAACGAAGAACAGAGAAAGCTTCCAAAGGAAACAGTAAATTAACAATCACAGTGTTACTCAAACAGTGGGCACACCCAAAAAAATCTGTAAGATTTTTAAGAAGTGTGAGAATCTTGGTCCTGTCTTCCAGGATCAGGTCTTTCCTCTACATCTTTCACAGGTATGCAGGGACCCCTCACAAATTTAGACTCTATTTCACCCAGTTTCTGAATCCAACTTAGCAGCTCAGCATATAGGCAACTGTACATACACATGTACACGTTTATTTATGTATGCACACAAAAATTTAGAGATGCAAAGATGCAAAGCCAGAGCTTCAAGCACCTAGTCAGTGTAGGCACTAAGTTCAAAAGGGAGTACAGGTTCAAGCATTTTAGACCTGGACAGAGGGTCTAGTTTGCCTTTTTTTTTTAGGGTAAGGACTAGAGCTGGAGGATTAACATCTAGGTCCTATTTCAGTCATCTATTCCTCCTTTAAACCTAGTCCCATTACAGAACTCCGTAGGCATAACAGGAACCAGCTGCAAAGATTTTAGAAGTAACATCACTAACAGTATACTTCTATGTGATATTGCATCTGTGTGATGTTGCATCACTAATAATACATTTCTATGTCAAGTCAAGGCTCACCACATCCTCAAAACACACCTAAATCAACAAAGCAAATCGGGATCAACTTCTCTGTCTTTCAAAAGTAGAACAGAACAGAAAACTTCAGTATGCGTTCCTACCCGTAGGCCAGTAACAGTACAGTTTGCTATGAGCTGGAAAACTTCTGGGTAATCTGTCACTAACTCTCCTAGTTGATGGTTTGTCATCAGCTGAGCCAAGAACCGACAGAATTCGAGGGATCAGATAAACCCTAAATTCAAAGAAGCAAATTTTTAAAAAGTGAACAGTTTAATTTAGTAGAATTTTTATGAGCGCTGTGGCTGATCAGGTGACAATTTCATTTGCACAGCATTTCTGCTTTATTTTGAATAGTAAAGCAAAGCAAACAGATGGCAGGCTGAAAGTGGTTTTGATAGATACAGTAAATTAATGACAAATGTGACAGGCAAAAACAAGCCCACGGCTGTTTCAGCATTCCAAATAAACAGAATCACAAGTAGACAGACAGATACCTGTGGATTTTCAAGTATTTGTTTCGCTCCTTTGATTAGATTACCAAGATACCTGGCACGTTCTGGATTGCTGAATAAAGATCTCCTTGTAGAAGCAAACTGAACTAAGCAGGAAAAGAAAGAACAAAATAAATGTAAGAATAATATATTATTCTGGAAAAAAAATAATATGTGTATATATATATTTATTATCTTACTCCTTGCATCAAACGAATCTACTGTGTCTGTAGCACATTCAGTACCTGAAGATTATTCCTTCAGCAACGTCCAGAAGATCGTTGTGAACAATTACGGCTCAGTTTTAAAATTCTCTTTTGCAATAGGTTACGACTTCATCAAAATAATTAGGTGGATGCTTCATACGTGGCAGAGTCATGCTGAAATTCAGGGGTTTTGAACACTTTCAAATTTAGAAATGAGAACTAAGGCCAAAGTTCAAAGAAGACATTGTGACTGGGCGCTGAATCAGTGCTTGTGGGACTCATAATTTATATGTTCATGCACAGAATGAAACACGTGTCATCTGAACACAGTATAAATGTAAAAAAAAAAAAAAAGACTACTGTCATTATTTTAGTGTAAATCTTTGTGTCACTTACTAACCGAGCCAACATTGGTAGAAGGCAATGACACAAATCAAAAAACAGGTCCAAGGTCTTTGGCTCCAGGAAGGCTAAAGGAAAAGATAAGTAGGTTTTATTATTTTCTGCCAGCAATAACTAAGTATATTTAACAGAATCATCTCTATTATTCACAAAAACACTGAATATTCATTGCACAATATCACACAAAACACCATTCTCTCTGTATTGCATCTGTCCTACAGCTCGAAGAATATTTCCCTGAAACCACACATGATGCAGAACACTCTCAGTCGCCTGCAGAAAGCTGTTCCGTACCATACGTAGGTAACCATCACGTGATGTCTTTGGGTTGCTACAGCAGAACACTAAAACAGGCACCAGACAAGAATTAGTTTGAGGCATATGTAAGCAAAGGCAAGTCTTCAGCTAAAGGTCCACAGACTATGCTAGAGTCTGCAAACATATATTTTGGTAGCCTCTCACAGAAAAGAAAACTTTAAAGACTGAATTAGCAGGTCACCATGGAAGCGTATCAAGCGAACTATAGCACCACTTTCTTTCATGAAGAAATAAAAACAGCATAGAAAGAAGAGCACTGACAATTCACCATTACGCAGCCCCACAAGAGATGTAACGTCTGAAGTTGTTCCGTTTATAAGCACTATATTTCTACAGGCAAAAAATACAAGTTAATATGCTTATACACTGTTTGCATTGAATGAGGAAAAGGGAAATCCTTCAACGTAAAATTTAAAGTATCTGAAGTAAAATCTTGAAAAAGTCTCGCAGCCAATTACAGTTACTTGAACAAATTCAGCCTTTCATCACTATTTCCCTGCTTGGCACACATACCTAATATGCCTCATGCTGTGACAAAAGCCTACAGTACATTAAGTTAAAAGGAATGGAAATTGATGAAGAATAATACAGTTGAAATCAAAAGTAGTATCAATCACTACAGTGTCTTGTTATACAAGTAGGGCAGCAAAGATGGGGAAAAGCTGGCAGGCAAGACGCAGGAAGAGTGGCTGAGGTCCCTTGTTTTTTCAGCCCAGAGCAAAGCAGACTGAGGGCAGCCCTCACAGCAGCTGCAGCTCCTCACAGGGAGCAGAAGGCAGCGCTGAGCTTTGCTGTCTGCACCCCAGAAATGGCATGGAGATGTGTTGGGGGAGGGTCTGGTAGGGGTTATGGAAAGGGTCTGCACCAGAGGGTGGTGGGCATGGCACAGGCTGCCCGGGGCAGTGGGCATGACCCCAAGCTGCTGGAGCCCAAGGATCATCTGGACGCCACTCTCAGACACAGCATGTGGGTGATGCTGCGTGAAGCCAGGAGTCAGACTGGATGATTCCCAGAGGTCCCTTCCAACACAGCTTTGTCCGTGGTTCTAAGTAAAACACATTTAAACCTCCAATCTTGGTTCAGGGAGACAACGCAGAAGCTTTGTCAGAAGTAAAGCAGACTTCCAAACAGGATAATTTGGCAGGAAGAAAGACAAATTAGCTCACAAAGAGCTCCCTGTGGCTAGTGCTAAACTGCTTTCATTACCCAAGGTAATGAGCTAACTTGGATGTATCCATACTACAGTGCAATCTGCAGTGTGCAATTTTGTGAAGTCAAAGCTTTAGAGTCTAAAAACCAGAACATAACACTCCTGCTGCCTTCATTAATGAATTCATATTCTAGTGCAAACAACCACATTTAATACATGATTTTCTCAGCAGGAAGAAGAGGCAATAAATTAGACATGCTACAAGTGCTGTACCTCTTCAAGGCGTTCTTATCTGAGCGATGAGAACAGTGTTCAGTCTTTAGTTAATCTCATTTACTGAGAATACCTACTTATAGACCACACTCATTATTTGTCTGTAGAAGTAATAATAGGAAAAGCTTGACACAAATAGCAAAACATTTCCTAATAACTCATCAGCAAGAAAGCCACACATAGCAAATATTCTCTATGTACAAGTATTGTGACAAAAGAAGTTACACAATACAGTGGGTATAGAATGCTTACAATTACTAGCAATGCGATTCTTTCTTACTTCTTCTCCAGTTCCTGGAATCTGCACAGTGCATAGGTCATCTGCAGATTCATTAGCTGAGTTTCCAATGAAATCAAAATTGACAATTTAGTACAAGCTTCAACAGATGCACTGCTAGACTTCGTTGCCATCGATCGCAAAGGGTTAAAGGTTTGGCCAAGGAACCACCTTGTCAGGTGACCTGCATAAAACATCTTTTGAAAACAATTTTGAAAAGAAACTTCAAAGTTCACAGCAAGAGAACACACACTAAGAGGGAAAAAATAAAAGGAATCCTTCAAATATAAGACATGGAGTTATCCTTAAAGACAAGGGAAAAATTACTACTACCACCTGAGGTACATCATTCATGTCAAGCTAAAGCTTTCAGCCTTATAAACAACAAAGCCCAGTGAAATAAAAATTTTAAGTACTTACAGATAAGACAGGGCACGTCAGTGATAAAGCCTGCTAAAATATTGTTAATGCTCATTGCGAAAATCAGACTGTAAGGTTTCATGCTTTGTGGTTACTCCAGACCAGCGTGGAGCATCTGCCATATACATCATATGGGAAAGGATTATGTCAGAAATTGGTGATCTTTCAGTTCAATGCCTACGATTGTCCAACCTGCTAAACTACACGATTTCACTTAATATACTCACACTATTCCTTTGCTATGTCTAGAAAAGTCTCACATTAAAAAAAAATAAAATAAAATGAACAGTCTGAATGTAATCTGAATTCAGCTATTTACAGTAGTAAACAGCTGTCTCTGTTGCAGTTACAATGCAAATATAATGCATCTGTACTGTCAGAATAAAAAGGTACTTGTTAAGCAAAACAAGCTCTTGGGATTCAGAAATCTACACTGAACACACAGCAAGAACACATTTTTATTTATTTCTCACTGTAATAATGAACAACTTTGTATCGTAATCATCTGCCGTTTGCTTGAATTCCAAGTCTCACCTTCAAGCTGATCAACAAAACAAAGATAACAGGAATCAGCATTAACTGTCATTAGATGCCTCATTAACTCTGTAACAACTATTGCATGAGATCAGTACTGACATTAAATTCACTTGGCTTCGATATCAACCATTTTGCTGCCACTCCTCTCCTAACTTCTAGGCTCTTGCATGCAATAGGCTGCAATTATTTTAATGATTCTTTAATTATTATCCGAGCGTGTTTTTCAATGTGCTATAGATGCTGATAAATATTTCTAAAATCAGCTTCCTATGCTAAACTATAAAGATGCCAATTATAGTTTTCATACACTTCTGTCCCAATAGCTGCACGGGATGTCACTCCGACAAGACTCTTCACATGGCAGAGGCCACAAAGGCACCTGCAGACCAGCTGAACTTGAAAGAAGCTAGGAAGTTCCCATAAACACATCTACTGTTTCCATGTGTAATGGCATTTACTGTATCCAAGAAGATGGCATGTTCTTGCAAAAATATATAGTTCCTCTTTTAAATGGCAAATGATTTCTCCATCAGCATAGCACATCCCTTTAGAAGTAAGGGCTCACACACTGTTATATGTGTTAAAAAACTGCCCCTCAGCTGAGTACTGGTAGCTGATCACGTGCACCATTTAAACCTACTGCAAGAATGAGGTAAAGTACACTAGTCTGCCTACAACAAACTGTGAAAGAAATTTAAACCAAGACAATTTTCCTTGCTTTTTACAGCAGTACCTTAATCAGTTGTCTGAGCCTTGAGCGTCATACCCTTCTAAAAAGTCCCCATTACCATTACCTACTGACATACCATCACGGCACCTGCATTTAAATTCACAGCATGAAATCCAGTGTCCAAACGTCAACACCCAACTCGCTGGATTCTCAGAAAAAGTGAACAAATCAGCACTCCCAAAGGAGTTAAAGAACTGGAGCCAGGTAACACTTCAACAACGAGCTCCTCTCAAAAGCACTGAGTTGATTGAGCTCAAGTAGAATGGTTCCTCATGGCGCCACTTCCGCTGCTATGGAAAGCTTTAATTGATTAAAAAACCAAATTCCAGCTTTGATCACAGTTTAAACTACATGAAGCTGAGAAAATAAAAAGGAACAAAGGGAAGACATTCAAACATCGTTCAGAATTAGATGGCTCACCATTTGTGCCAAACGGGGAAGACAGAAACGCAGAGCAAGTGAGACATGGAGGAAGGGAGATGGACATCTTCCCATTGAACATTTTTAGGTCTTGAGCTTCACTGGGCCACACATAAATCCCCTGATTAAGAACATACTAGTGATTCATGCTGCGACAATCAGGATGCTACGAACTTCAGCTTAATTGTGAAGAGCCTCACCTCTCTTAAAAGAGAGCACGCAAGCACCAGTATGTCCTTTAAAGAGGTGCCAAGAATGGGGTTGCTATTTATGATGTTTTGCTGAAGGTCTTGAGTAATCAGCCTAGGAAAAGTTATGACATAATCAACAATGCTCCCTTCTCAGCTACAACTGGACTGTGTGTGCACCTGGCAGGCTAATTATTTTGCACTTGAAAATAAAAACTAACTTCAGCAATAAATACAGACCTACAGACCTTTACAACTTCCTGAAATGCCTTTCTTTTTTTTTTTTAAACCCTTCAAGGTTGTACCTTTGGATGGAAAGGTCTGAAGCACTTCTTCGGGTCAAGATAGAAAAGGACAATCATTAGCAGCAACACAACCAAAAGAGTCGATTATTCAGTTCTCTTTATTAGTTCCACACGAGGCACACATCTGTTAGGGGGTGGTGAATTTCTGGCCTCCTGACATATTTTGGAAGAGGAAGGAAGAGGAGATAAACAGGTTGTAGCTACGTAATATTTCTCCCACCACTTTTATGAAAGGAAGATGCATTTGATGTGCTGCTTCATCAGCAATTACACCCCTTGCACAAGGAAAAAAACGTGCTTACTAGATTTATTTCCTTAGTCAGTTCTGAGAGAATCATTACTCCTATGATACAATGGTCCACAGTGTCCTAAAGAAAAAAAAAAAAGCAACAAAAACCCAGATATGATTGCTCAAACTTCACTGCTTTATTTAATATTTTTTCAACATCTCTCAAGTCAATAGTAATTACTAGTTTGAGATAAACCTAGTTGTTTAGAAGGCTTTCACACACATCTCTATCACATTAATAGAACTAGACGTTCAAGATCTCTAATCAGATCTGGAAAAAGAACATGTAAGAACTGTATGATAACATAAAACTGTCTGAAGAGAGTTTAATCAACTGCAATCAAGAAATTCACAATTACATGTTTTCTAAAGGTTTGTTCAGCCTTCCGGAACCAATACAGCAAGCTGCATGAAACTTAAGCCATAAAAAAATTAAGCCATGCACGGATGAAAGAGACCTCAGAGAAAACAAATACAGTTATGAAATAGTATTTATCCCAAACCTCATTCTCTCCTCTCCTCAACAATCTACAAAGCATTGCTTTGAATTTAATGACATATTCCATCTCCAGAAACGTGTGCAGAAAGCAAAGCAGCAGGTATCAAACACTGGTTAGATCACACACTCAGATGCAGGTGAGTTCCTCAAAACACTTTGAAACTCACAGTGACTGGAATTTGCATCTGGTTGTCTTAACTGAGCTATTACAAAGCATTTATTATTAAAGAAATAAATTTGTTTTTCAATTGCAACTAGGCCTTATCACTGACTCAATGAGAAGACCTGTGTCTTCTTTCAAATTTGAAGTCCACAGCTTCAGCATCCTTGGTACCCACAATTCATTTTTGTCACAACCAAATCACCATTTTGGCAATGCTGAAGAGCAACTCAAGCTCAACTAACGAACAATCTGGTTTTTCACCAGACTAACTTCACTGACATCTATTTTGCATTATCATTTACACCAAAAGAAATCAGAAGTTCAGAGAGCTCTCAGCCAAAATCTCTCCTGTTGCCCTGCCTTCAGTAAGATTAAGCAGCTAATAATTTGAAGGCTCAAGTCTCTAACATCTGGTATGAATATTCCTTGGATCTACAAATCTACAGAATGGGAAGATGCAACCTCCCCTTCCCACTGCTGAGGAAAGCTGTGCGGTGAACTATGGCGGAACTGAGAACACGATTACACACCTACCTGCTATTACCCTTTTTTACATATTAAATCACACTCAAATTCACACTGGATGAACTTTCCAAGTATTTGAAGCTACCATTGTTTAGGGATTTTTTTTTCTAATATAAATTTAATTTGCCAGTAGATATACTGCTTAATTTTCTTTGCTACAGGAATTCTTAATTTAACTAAAGCAATCTCTTAGCAGCTAAATTTTGTATTTAAATCTCCATCTTTAATGAACTATACACCGAAGAGTCATACTGCAATCATTTTAATAATAAATGCAAAACCCAATTACAGTACATTCATAAAAATTACTGCAAAATGGTGGAGTGCTATACTTGAGTTTGTTTTTAATAAAAAAGATATTGCATATTATCTTTTATTAGACATTCCCAATGTAACTTAGAAACTACATTAATTTGAATAGGACTATGAACAAACTTAGACTGAAAAACGAGTATGACAGACTCAGTGGCAAGAAATGAACTGTAACTTCCTGTTTTCTTGCTGAGTTGCCAAGATCACTGACACAAATGTACGTAACAGATCACTTTAGAAGTAGATCTCCAAACATCTCATAATCTCCAACTTCTCTGATACCTACTTCTCACAAGTATTAGGTTTAATACCTACACAGATATTCAGAAACACTGATCAGAAATAACTTTTAACACAGATCTGTTATTTCCCCAAAAGCTCACGAAGGATATTTTCATATCCATTATATATATAAAATCAAACTGGTTAATAAGCCACGACATGCAACTGCTGCCTCTGAACTTCTATCCCAGAAGATGCTGTATATCCTATATCTTTACCTACTGCTGTGTCTGACAGTACTTGCTCTAAATTTGACGTGTAAATTTGCTTAATGAACAGTGCAAAGTGCACCCTGACTTTGTAAGAAATTCTCTCAAATTTTCAAATACTGTATATATATGTATACACACACACAATATATATATATTCTTTATATATGTATATATTTATTCTTTTTTATTAAAAGTTTACTTCTCTACCAGCACAGTGGGAGAAGAGGAAATAACACGGAAGGAAATGCAAAACAAAACCATTACTGCCTCATTCAACTGTTTTAAAGGGAAGTGTAGTTACCTTTCCTCCCCAGATTCCCCACATTACTTTCTGAAATGTATAACTTTCACAATACCTTAAACACTAGAATAAAATAGGCAAAGTAACAGCTACAAAAAACGTGAACTGATTAACAATCTTCCATGTAACAATGTGTCTTGCAGATTTGCACTCTGCCATTGTATCTTTACCAAGCTATCGAGGTACCTAGTGATTTCTGCTAAAAACTACTGAAGTGCAGGCAAAGTCTCACTGCTCATACTGAAATCCAGTAAAAAACAGTAACAGTAAACACTCCAAAAAGTAGTTAAAAATGTATCATTTTGACCAGTGGTCCGTGACAGCAATTACATTCGAACTGGTTCTAGAACTGAACAGTTCAGCACAGCTGAGGTTAAAGGCTGACACATCTGACAGGCCTACTCTTCACACAGCAGAGCAGCAGTGCTTCCTAATCAGGTAAGTGGAGCTGACACCACACCAGAAATCTATCTCCACCACAGTTTAAAAAAGAGATGACAATATTAAAAAGAACAGATCAGTAACAGGGGCTCACGTTAATCACACCGTGAAAAAGTGCTTTGGAAATCAGTCAGTCAGTAAATAACAACATGGCAGCACTATGAATGTTGTGTGACATCAGTAACTTACCAAAGCCATCCCCACACGCATCAAAGCCGCTCCCTTCTTCAACGCAGGACAACCTTCTGTTTTAAGCAGTTCTCTTCACATTTTTTCCACTCAAAACAACTTAGTGACACGCCAATCACTTCAAATGAAGTCACCTCAACATGTAAGTGCATGTCTGTTTCCTACCTGCAAGAATTCTTCCACATCAGCAATGATGTCTTGAAGACAAGCTGGTCTTTCAGTATGTCAAACCATCCTAATTTGGTAACTTTAGCAATGGCTTGAACAAGAGCTTGTGTGACAAAAGCAGCCAGTTTGGGTTGAGAAGTTACATAGTTCAGAAGGCAACTTCCTGTAAAAAAAAAAGATTTTGAAATCAACAGCAAGTCTTTCATTTAAAAAATAATAACAGTAAACCTAAGGAGGGATTTTTTAAAAGTTACAGTCTTCTGTTTAATATAGGGAGCAAGTTATGTTTAAGCACTCAATACAGGTAAGGTAAGCATTTAGTAACACAAAGCACATCACATACACCATCCCTGCACAACACATGACAACAGTCCGTAAAGTCAAGGAATGCTGCCAGGAATGACACTGATTTTTCATCATGGCCTTATATTTGGGGCACTGAATATTTCAGGATAAAACAGCAGCTCTCAGAACCAGCTCAATGTATATCAAAGGTTTCTCAGACAAGAGACCCCAATTCAACCTAGAGTGTTCCCTTGACCAACGCACACACTTTTCACTGACAGACACTTGTAACTAGCAAGAAGTTTAATCCATTCCAAAAGATGTTAAAACATTAATTAAAGTTGATGAAAGTGAATTGGTATCTAACAGAACACTGAACACCTGTATTAGAAGTGGTTTCTCCACCATGCATTTCACAGCACTGCTACCTACAGAACCAATATAACAGCGCAGATTTGCTCAAACACCACATGCTTCTCGTGCAAAGCCTTTCAGTATTCAACATTTCACTCATAGTTGCTCACTTTTCCAGGATACAGCAATGACTTTAAGGTAGATCCTTAAAAGCAAGGAAAACTGTAGGATCTTAATGCTGCAAGTGTTTGCCTGCCCCGGCATGCCTTCTGCAAATATCAGCACCGGTCTGAAGAGCTGATCACGAAGAACATCACCCATAAGCGACTTGTGGGTATGCTAACAATACCTGCAAGTTTTATCCCATCCCTTCAGGCATTCAAGGCCAGGCTGGATGTGGCTCTGGGCAGCCTGCTCTGGTGGCTGGCGACCCTGCACACAGCAGGGGCTTGAAATAGATGATCATTGTGGTACTTTGCGACCCAGGCCATTCGATGATTCCATGATCCTTTACATACATGAACTAAATTGTTTCATTATCTTGCGGGATAAAGACAAAGTATGCCCTCAAAAATGAACTTCAAAAAAAAAAAATTGAAGTGAAGTAACCTGAAAATTAATTTTAATTTAATTCAGAAACTCAGAAATATGTAAACTACTTGCAGAGAAATGACTAAAGAATTCGCAATGACCTTTCGGTTCTTACTCCCACAACAACCACTTAATGGGCAAGTTTAATAAATGCAGAAACCTAGAGAAAAAGAAAAAAATAGGCTTCCCACTGAATGTTACTGAGATAACAAGAAGTTTTAGATGAAACTAATGTAAGTAAACATTAACCACAAACATTACTTACGGATGTCAATTCTTCGTTCAATAGGTAATGGAGATGCCCTGCTTACAAGCCTAGACAGGCAAGTTGCTGCCAGAACTCAAGTGTAGGATGTCTACAGAAACATATCAAAATATGCAATCTAAAAGTAGGATAATTAAAGGCAGGGTCAATAAGTCATATTCAGTGGTTATCAAGTTTTTGGTTTAACTGGAACAAAAATTTTTAAGAAAATCTATCTTAGTATTATCTTTGCTTCATTCTAAAGAAATGAATCAGAAGTGGAATCCTAGAAATCTTATCCCTTTTGGTGAAAATCACACATCTAAAAGTAATTTTATTATTCAGTGGAGCTCTTTAGTTTTGAAATGTGTACTTTTAAATCACTTGATTTAGAACCATCAGACAATTACCTCCATTTCAGCTCTGCGTCAGAGATATCTTTATCTTTTTTGAAGTACAACACCTTTAGAATTTGAGAATTTCTAAAGCATAAAAGAAGCATCCTTTATTAAAGGACTCAAAACTACAGATGCAGCTAATAGCTCAAAGCACCAGACAATTCCACGAAATCATGATTTCTTCAACATAAATTCTAAGTGTTACAAACTATTGAGTAAAGCTACGTAATTTAAAAACATATATATATATATATTCAGAGTCTGTTTCAGCAACACAGTCTGACTTCAAACACAACCACAAAAAAATTTTTTTTACCTACATGTAATTCAGCACCTGAAGTTGTTAGTCTTAAGTTATTTATGTTGCTTAAGTTGACTACATGTCACATGGAAAGGAGAACTAAGAATGCGAAGATCGTATATAAACTGCGTAGCTGTTGGGGCCTACAGAATTTCTCTTATGTGGGTCTCCAGCATCCAGACCAGGTATCCAGAAGGTGTATTAGAGCACTACTTCACGCTGAGTTTGTTGCACAAGGAATCAGATCCAGGCACAGCATCTGCAATGCACTGCGGGCTCCCATAGTCAGGCACAGCTTTGCTGCTCTTGTTCGGCTCCCCAGCTCACAAGGCCATCAGTAAAACAACCATTCCAGAGCTCAACCACTGACCCAAACTGGATTCCTCAGAAGCAACTTATACTGTACATTAATTAAACTTTAATTAAAGGATCAGGCACAACACACCGCTGACAAATGTAAATATTTAAATACTTTTCTACAATGAATTCTGTTTATGAAACAGGTTTTGTAACAATTACATTATGGCTGAATAAACTAGTTAAGCATGATGGTTTGGTTGGTTCTTCCAAGGTGTTACCCAATAATTATATGGTATTATATATACTATATGGTATATATATGGTATTATATATATTATATACTCAGAGTGTCTTAGAGGATGTGTCTGAAATACCTGGAAAACACAGACACCAGTACTGAACTCAGCTTGAACCATCAAATCAGAATCAACTCTCCTATCGCTTCACACAGATTTAATCATGAAGGTAAACATCAAAAATGAAACTGGGTAATGAGAAAAGAGTGCTATAAGCTGACAGATGAACAATTGAAAGACTTTTTTAGTACAATTTTTCTTCATCGTAGCTGACAGCTGGGAATAAGAGCAGGTAATGTTTATGTATACCAGGTTACACCACACTGGGTATACATGGCTCTACAGATTACGTGCACCTCAATTACAAACTTCAGGAAGTAATGAAACCGAAAGCTACATGCTTTTCCCTTTTGTCCAAGTCATCTCCAATGCAATGTATCATCCATCAGCCTTACAGGGATTACCTCCAAAAGCTGAATTTGCTAGAATAGTTTACAAAGCAGAATATCTATTAAAAAAAAAAAAAAAAAAAAAAAAAGGAAAACACAATGATTATTGTACTTAGATGCTAATGGCCTGTGGCTGGCAAATTTACATGACTTCTACCAGCACAACTACATTTATGGATAACACATCTTTCGGATGCTTACAGTTCTTTGTTCTAACAAAAGCTGGCACTGGCTAAGACAATCTGGGCTATTAATAAGCTCCAAGACCACGTTCTCAGCTTGCATTTGCTGTGCCAGATAGTTCCATCATACAGGTGGCTACTCAGTACCTCTAGTTTTGCCAGATTCTGTTAGGAAAAAGAACGCAATTGAGTCCTCTATGGAGACTTTTCACCCACAAACGATTGCTCTGAAAGTTTACAAAACCAGACACATATCACTGATTTGAACTGTTATCTCTGCTAAGCTCTCTAGTTGATCCACGTTTTAATTACAAAAAGATGAGAGGCTTTCTTTGCCAACAAACCAAAAAGAATGCTGAAAATTAAGCTTCTGCATCTTATTTTCTGTGCTACCAAAGTAAGGTTCAAATTGTCTGTTATTCTGACTCTTTACTTATGTTAAACAAACCAAAAAGAAAGAAAGAAGAAAAGATGAAGAACAGTAAACAGTTTGAGTAAAACTGCTTTAAAGACTTCTGAGAAATCTCATTTTAGAAGTTTTAATTGTTCATCACATTACTACATCTGCAAAAAAAATACAATCTGCATCTGTGGATGCAAACATCAGTGAAATATAGGGCAACTCAGAAGCTACAGCAGGAACAGAAAAGCCAAAATTCCTCTCCACAATGAAGCTGAAAAGAACACTTTGTGAAAGAGAGAAGGAAAAAAAACAAACCACCCCCCTGTCCCGTGTCCAATTCACACCTACTAGAGCCAGCCTCACAGGAGAAATGAACCTTTGGAACAGAAGCAATGAATATCCATCCACTCGCCAAAGCCTACAGAACTTTCATCAAGATCCGGTCCTGTTATTAGAAGGTAGGTGTTAAATATTTCATTATTTGAGCATGGCCTAGAAAGAGCTGGAAAAAAGAACACCAATGAGCTTAATGCAGTATTTGATCCGTTTCATTTAAAACCAAATCCTTTTTCTGGTCCTTCCAAAATTACATTTTGTACCTGAAGATCTGATTTAGTACAATCTAGCATTTGTTTAACTTGAGCTATTTTAGACACTTAGTTCTTGACAAGCTTTTTCTGAATTTTAATAACAACTTTGTAAGAGTCCCCGCTTTTTAATTAAAAAGAAAGTCCTGTACTTATTTTCTGAAGAAAGTTTAAGGAATAGCATATTTGGAATGAACAGACTAAATACATCTCAGACTGAATTCAACAGAGATGTCCTTTGTTTGTTTGTCTGCTTTTCTTTCCCCAGAATTTTGGGAAAAGCAGACAAAAAATAAAGAGCAGGTAATAATCCCAGATTTGCCTCATTTAAAATTGCATGATTCATTTCAATTAAAGAGAAAATTAAGACTCGTAAAATACAAGCATTCACATTAAGGAAAATATAAAATACAACACACACACAAAACCCAAATGCCTTACGAGGCTAAAGCATGGCAACAAGGATATCCAGTAAATAGAGTTTTCAAGCACAAATTCAATGCATCTGTCCAAAATGGAGCAATCCCATCAGCACTTGATATGTATGATTATCACATCATTACAAGTAGAAGTTAGAGACCCTACACAGTTATCTGAACTGTGATTTTCAGATGTGGACAAAGATACCTTAGCAACAAGCTCAGGGAAAGTCCAAGAGAAAACTGAGATATAAGCTTAACCATCAGCATAAAACTTGTATTAAAATAGTCAATTATTTTTATGAGCTCATTAAGTAATAATTTATACAAGTAGAACTGAGAGTGGATTTTAAAAACATACACCTTGATGTACTCTCTTAGTGTGTTAATGCTACACTGAAATCTAAGCTGAGGATATGAATTAACTTCTTGTTGACACGCTAAAACTGCCAAGGATCACACTTCATCCACAGGATAATGAGGGAAACTGACCATGATTTTTATTTTTATTATTTTTTTTTTTTAAGCAAGTTTGAACAAGAATGATTTCCAATGAAAAGTTGTTTGTTGGAAATTGAGAGTGATGATCACTTTGAAATGAGCACTTTGAAATGCTCCATATGAATAACCCGGCCTCAAGATGATGTAACCATAATGCTCCTCACAGGGAAGGTAGAGGTATGGCCAGACTACTTGGAACTGTCAGGGAACTTGCCAGAGGTTCTCTGGGTTACCCCTCAAATGTGACACTGAGGAAATACATCAGCTCTCCTTGACTCAGTGAAATCAAGAAAGACAACACGAATCATGCAAATACAACCATCTCAAGTACAACAGAAATTAAGCAGAGCAATTTCACTAGGAAAAAAAACAAGTCAAGACAGCTCCAGAAGGTCTACGCTAGCTCTATACACTACACCTGTATCTCCTTCAAAGTAACAGAAGACCGACATGTCCCTTTCTGACCGTGACAAAAAACATGTGAAACTGCTGCTTTCCAACAGTTATTCAAATCCTTATCAACAGCTGAAAGACGTTCCTAGGAAAACAGCAACGGCATCACTGAAGAGCACCCAGGAGCGCCGTGCTGACTGCTGGACGTGGGTCAGAAGCAGACCGCCACAAGAAGCAGCACTTCTCGTCACAACGTGGAACGTTGAGATCCCAGTCCTCATGAGAAAAGTTCGGTGTTGATTTCCTTCTGGCCATCGCACTTTTGTAAACTACAAGAAGCAGCTAAATAAAATTAACCAGACGGTTGTGGCCGCAGCTGCCGCCCTCAGGAGCCCCGGCAGCTCTCCCAGCACCAAGGGCCGCAAGCAGCAGCAGCCCGGCTCCGCAGCAACACGGCGGGCCGGCGCTCAAGGAGCACGGCAAACCGGCAGCAAACCACTCACGTTCCCGATTAAAGCTCTGCTGACACTGACAAATTCCCCCAGACGTTTTCATTTATCAACCGAAAAACATGCCGTGCGGAAAGTTCGCTCAGTTCCACGGGAGAGCAGCATTGCGGAGACGCCGGTGCCGATCGCGGGGACGGCAGCAGCTCTCGCACCGCTCACCCCGCGCTGCACGGCGTCCGAGCACCTTACGCTAAGATGGCTCCTGACGCTCCAACCCAGGGAGCCACACGGGTCCGAAGGAACGCTCGACATCTCGGACAGAGCCCTGCGAGGCCTCGTTCCCTGCCCGTTGTTGGAGCCGTCCCCCCTCGGACACGTTCAGGGCACCGGCTATCTGCGGCGTTCGGACCTCAAGTCCGGCGCGGAGCCCAGCGCTGCCCTCAGGAAGCAGCGCAGCGCTGCCGGCTCGCACGCACCGTCACGGGTAGCAGGAAAACCCACCCGTAGCCGCGCGGCCCCGGAGGCAGCAGCAGCAGCAGCAGCAGCACTCTGCACCCGCCCGGGCGTTCCGACACGGCCGCTCCCGCCGCCGCCACCTCCCGACACCTGCGGCAAGCAGCCGCCCACCCCGCTCCGCAAGGCGCGGAGCCGCTCTCCTCAGCTCTGCTCCCCGGCCACCCGCCCCGCACCGCCGGACCCCGCGGCCCTCCACCCCTCGGCGCGCCCCACCACCACCCCCGGCGATCGGGCCGGCTCCCCTCGACTCCCTCTACCCTGCTGTGCTGTGCTGTACCGCGCCGCGCCACGCCGCACAGACCTGGCCGGGCGGGGTCATCTTCCCGAACGCTGGGGAGGAGCCGCGGGACCGGCCGAGGCTGTGGGCAGCACCGAGCCGCTCCGCGCCGGGGCGGCCGCTGGGCGGGGCGCGCGGGAGGCTCGCGCTGACAGGTCCGCGTGGGGCAGCGCGCAGGGGGCGCCATTTTGTGAGCGATCGGAGCTCGGCCGGTGCTCGCGGGCTGCCTTTCCTGGACCTTGGCAGCTCCTTGCTGACTGGAAGGACCAGGATTTTCAGTAGGTACCGCGACTAGGTGCTGCTTGAAGTGATTTACGACTTTTGTTTTGCTTTGCGTAACGAAGCTGTTGCAGATAGCACCAAGTTGGCAGTGCGTATGAGGATAGGAGGACATGGGCAGGCTGATCGCTGGGCTGAGGCCAATGGAGTGTCGTTCAACAGCACTGAGTGCCGGGTCCTGTAATTGGGCCACAACAACCTCAGGCAGTGCTAGAGGCTTGGGGCAGAGTATCTGGAAGCTGTGCAGAGGAGGAGGATCCAGGGGTGATGCTCAGGAGGGTGCTGACTGTGAGCCAGCAGTGTGCCAAGGATACCAATGGAATCTTACATCAGTAATAGTGCGGCCAGCAGGAGCAGGAGGTGATGGCCCCTCTGGCCTCAGCTCTGGTGATGCTGCACCTCAAGTGCTGTGTTCAGTTTTGGGCCCCTCACAAGAAAGGCGTTGAGGCCCTGGAGCGAATCTGGAGAAGGACAACAAAGCAATAGAAAAAGGGGGAACGGCCTCAAATTGCAGCAAGGAAGGTTCAGGTTGGGTATTGGGAAGATTTTTTTTCTCAGAAACTTAAACTTCCTCTGGTGCAATTTAAGGCCAGCACTTCCCTCACTGTTAATCTGGGAGAAGATGCTGACACTCACCTCACCACAACCTCCTTTCAGGGAGTTTTAAAGATCTTGCTGCTAAGGCCTCTGAGCCTCTTTCTCTCCAGACTGAACCATCCCAGCTCCCTCAGCCAATCCCCATAAGACTTGTGCTCCAGACCCCTCGCCAGCTTTGTTGCCCTTCTCTGAACACATTCCAGGGCCTCAGTATCTTCTGAACAGTCCTCCAGGTGCCGCCTCACCAGTGTCCAGTAGGGAGGTATGATCACCTGCTCCTGCTGATTCACGGGATCACAGAATGGCCCGGGTTGGAAGGGACCTCAAGGATCATGAAACTCCAACCCCCCGCCACAGGCAGGGCCACCAAGCTCCACATTTAATTAATTAATTAATTAATGACTGCAATATTTTTGATACAAACTGGGATGACATTGGCCTTCTTGGCCACCTGGGCACACTGCTGCCTCATGTTCAGTCAGCTGTCAACTAATACACCCCAGGGTTCTTACCAGCTGCTCTGCTCCAGGCTTGTAGTGTTGCACAGGATTGTTGTGGCCAAAGTGCAGGACCCAGCACTTGGTCTTATTAAAGCTCATACTGTTTGCCTCTGCCCAGTGATCCAGCATATCCAGATCCCTAAAGGTCAGTGAGGTGAGTACTGCACTAGTCAGAGACACAAGAGGATCAATACAGAGATTATCTAACATGAAGCCCTTCTATGGTTTTATGATTTGAGCAAGTATCTGCATAGGAAAAGGTGTGCTTTCATGCGGAATGCTGAAGTTGGGAGGCAAAGATATAATTCATTCTGACCTCTATAAGCTGAAGTTGGGCAAATTTGCAACAGAAATAAGCAACGCTGGGGATTGTTGGAGTGACTTACCTGGAGACTGTGGTACTCCCTGTCAATAGGTTGAGAGTGGTTATTTTCATAAAAGATGATGTTTTCATAAAAGATAAGTAAGTGCACGAGCTGTGTCTTGGAGTGGAAATTGGTGAAGTGCATGGTTACAGACTGCGTGTATGCACAACACTGTACCATATGCATGCAAAGCAATTTTTTTTTTTCACGTGAAAAACTCCTTTACTGTCAGAGTGACAGAGCAGTTGGAGCAGGCTGCCAAGAGAGGCTGTGGAGTCTCTTTCTCTGAAGATATTCAGGACCTGTCTGGGTGCCTGCCTCTGCAACCTGCTGCAGGGAACTGCTTTAGCAGAGATTTGGACTCAGTAATCTCTAGAGGTCCCTTCCAACTCCTACAATTCTGTGATTGGGCAAAATGAGAAGCATTTGTGTATTCTGTGTCCTGCTGAAGTGAACAGTGATTCTTTGCAGCATAAAGCCAAACTGAACCTAGAATAAAACTCAACAATGTGTATTTGTTCAGGCATCACAAGATGCATCTGGAATCAGTAGCACAGGGAGGAAGGAGGTAACAACAACTGAAGCGTCACAGAGAATAGGCAGCAAAAACATTGAATGGTATCACTGTGGTACTAGCATGAACTGGGGAGAAGTTAGCAGTGAAACCCAGCCACAGAATGTCTACAGACTATTGTCATACGTAATACACAAAGAAATGTTGAGCTTCTTATTGGGCACACTGTTGTTTGATGTTTTAACCTAAGAGTAAGGATTTTTGATCATCCCCTGCTCGGTCTCCCCAGTGATTTGTAGTCCGTGGCACTTTTATTCTGCTTGACAGATGACAGGAGGAGTTTGTGTAGAATTGCTGTTTCTCTCCTGCTCTGTCTCACTTTATAGAAATGCTCATGTGAAGGTTGGTAGCCCAGAGATGAGGGAGAACTGAGTAAATGGAAGCTGCTTCAGAACAAAAGTGAATTTGATGTATTCTTAGCTGAAATCACTCTTTAGCAGTGGGGTCAAGAAGCAGTTATGACACTCTAATTGGATAGGAATAGTAATTTCTTTGTACATGAACTATCACAGTTGAATGATGATATCATCTTTGAATCACATGCTTTTGTAGAAAATACATCGTTAATTACTGGAGAGTGAAGCAAAGTGAAAAAGGAAAACTATTTTAAATGGAGTTTCTTGATCCCATGCCCTCACAACTGGCTGGTGCTTCTGAAAGTTAAATAGCTCAGACTGCTCAGTCCCCTAATTATTGCTCCTCAGTCCAGTGCACCCTTTTTCATCCCTTACCCTGTGCTGAAGCGGAATCATTTATCTGCAGCCATTGTCTAAACTAAAGGAAAAGTAAAAAAGCATGCCAAAGGACCAGAAAAAAAAACAGGGACTGACGATATGCAGAAGGGAAACAAAGGGATTTCAAAGGGAACTGGGGGAACAGATCATAGCAGAGGGATCCCCAAGGCTGAGGAATATGGAATGAAACAGTGACGTGGGGGGCGAGGAAAGTCAGCCATAAGTTATGATGTGGCAGCTGTGGGAGATTTTCAAATGCTGTAGATTCATAAAGTGCCTGAAGAGCCAGAAGCAGCTTGCTGATGTAGGTCAGAAAGCCAGCAAGTTCTTACACAGCCTTTCAAGACGTTGACCCAAAGACTAGTTTCAGTTCTAGCACTTACTGCGACTCCTGCTCCAGGTGATGGGCCATTACGTATGCTGTGCCACTACATCGTGCAAAGACATGAAGAAATGAGGTTAATAAGTTTAGCAGTTGAAAAGCTGTGCACAGGCTAAGGACACTGCAGGCAGCTGAGCATGAGGGAGCTTGTGCCTTGTGCAGCACTGAGCAGCCTCTTACCCAGAGACATCCGCCTGTTCCTCATCAGCCTTGGTCCCAGTTCTGGTCCAGCAGGTGAACACAGATAGAAGCTGGAAGCACAAAGCTCGTACCACAAGGCACACAAGTGGTGCTCGCTCTGCAGCACGCACAGCATGACTGTGACTATTTCTTCCTTGGTTTAATCAATGTAATCATTTAAATCTCTCAGATGTGGGCAATTGCACTTCTGTATGCAATTTCTGTTAACGACAGACTGATTATTTCAAAGGCAAAAAAAAAAAGTCTAGCTAAAGAATTAACAGATTCCTAGACTAATACCTAACAAGCTCCTGAGATTTAACATAGCAAGTAAGAATGTCAGACTGTGAAGCTGCTTCAGACCGTGTCAAAGTCCTAGCACTAAGGACAAATCTGTGTTAAGGAATGTGATTTATTTAGAAGCTTTCATGCAGTTCCTTTATCCTTACTTGGGAGGTGGAAATGGCACGGAGAAGATGCTTGTGTGACAGGCACTGACGGGAGGAGGCCGTGCCATGAAATTCAATCTTGCTCTTATGGAAGATGAAAACAAAATAATTTCTTCTTCCGAGGAAGTTGAGCTAAAGGAATGTTTTAAATCTGCCGCACCACATGCAGCAATGAGACCTCCCTGCAGCTTTCCCTCCCCTATGGTTTGCAGCTCAAGTCTGCATCTCATTTGCTGCTGGGTGGAATAACGCCCACTTCCTCAGTTTGCTGTGACTTTGCATTATGTGAATAGATCTGTTGCTGCAGGCAGTGCACTCACAGTTAGAGCCATTCCTTTGCAGTGCTGCTTACAGAGGGTTGAATCCTCTCTGTCCTTTTTGTAATTTAATTTTAAGGGACCTGATTAAAGCATGTAAACAAAGTCAGCCATTTTTTGTCTCCGCAAAACCAGAATTAGCAAATGGTATCAATGTTCTTTTTTTTTCTTTTTGTTTTTCTTTCCCCTGCATTACATCAGGGTTTTCCCTAACATGCAGTTTTCCCATTGGAAGGTATATCTAGTAAATGACAAGAAATGATTAAATTCAATTGACAACTAAAGACTAAATGCATTTTAAAAAAAGAAACTCTTGGAGATAAATGCAATGGATTTAAAAATTAGAAGGCTTTGTTATAGAAAGGTTAGGTGTTTTCAATAGACATAGTCCACCCACCCAAGCAGTTGCAGCCTGTTACTGGATACGGTTCTGCTACACATTTTTTCATTCAACTACTGTTTGTTTTTCTTCTCCTTTTCACTTTTCACCAGTAATGGCAGAAGGCCCTGAGGAATTACCACTGGTAATTCTCTAGGGCTGATGATTTCAGGATTATTTTGCTGTGCCACACTGTAACCCTGCCACAGTATTCATGCCCACAATTTAGTGAGTGCTTTAGTAATCTAATTCATTCATTTGTAGCACAGATTGCAATTGATCTTGAGCATATGTCTGAAGATTAAATAGTTACATTAACAATCATCCATTTAGAAATACAGTGATTCCTACCAGACGATTTTATGTTAAAAGCATTACACAGTGAATAAACAAAAAGCTTACTAGACATAACACTAAGAAGACCAGGAAGAGCCTGTAACAGCAAAATCAGTGATTAAATCTGAAGTCATTTGATACTCCTAATTAAAACTAACTAATCTTTGCGATGACCTAGTGCTGTGCTTTGTATTGTAAGTTGACAATATTCCAGGAACTCTGAGCCAAAATAAATTATTCTATGCTCTTTTCTTACCTGTACAAAGATCAATATTACCTCGGGGCAAACACAGTCTATAGCCAATCTCCTAATGTAGTTTATATTGAAGAAGAATGTCTCATGGCAAAGAAAAGCAGAAAGCAGCACAGCATTAATGGAGGTGTTTGTGATGCATTGTATATACATTTTAAACACTCTGCAAGGTGTGTGCAGCAATCACTGCGTGTTTTGGTGCATTTGATAAAGAAGATTACAAATAATGAGGGTTAAAATTGAGGTGCCTGAACTCTTGCTCCCTTACTTGTTGCTGAAGTCTCTCATTAATTTACTGCTGGTCCCAAATACCGTTTCTCCATGTGTCTGGCACATATATAAATAAAAATAGGACAGTGGTACAAATTAGAAATTTAGTTTAACTGCTGGCATTTTTTTTGTTGTTGTTGGAAAAAATTAAAAATGTTAAACTATAGAATAATATACATTTTAAAAAATTAATATTAAATTGGATCCTTTCAGGGCACTTACTGGGTACGTGCTTAAGAATTTTATTGAACAGTCTAAATGTGTGAACTTAAAACTGTTCTTATTTCAGGTAAGTATCATGATACACTTCAGCCAAAGCTGGATTTCAGGGAGGTGGGATGCACACACGAGTGTAGTGTTATCAGAGAAGCTATTTACAGCACAGGGAGTACAAGTAAATATAACAGTGTGAAAGGTGTCTGACAACACACGTACAGAAATAGTTATTCAGGGCTGTTTCAGTTTTCATAGTCCCCAGATTCATATTCTTCCTCATCCTCATCGTCAGAATGGCCATAGTAGTCCTCATAGTCAGTGTCATAGCTTGCACTTCTACTGCCAGCAGTTAAGGCAAAAGCAGAAGGTGAACCTGCACAGCAAGACATCGTGGAATCCTAATTAATTTAGTTGTTAATAGGAGTGAACCGGACCGTAATGTTTTATGTGCTAGCTGGTAGGACTGGCACAATGCAAAACAGCAGCACAGCTCTTTCTTGTATCTTTCCAAACTGTTATGGGTAAAGTACAGTTTCAATCCTGACTTTTTGAAAAGCAAACTGAATAGATAAATAAATAGATAAACTGATAAATAAATAAATAGATAAACTGTTAAATAGATAAACTGAACTGGTGGTTCAAGGACTGCCTCAGCTGCAACAGTTCTGGATTCAGAGCTTCCACTAACATCTCAGGGCTTCTGTGGGATGAGGATAATGCAACTGTGTCTCAGAGCTATGACTGCCATCCTCAGCATTCTGTTTTCTTCTGGAAGGAGATATCATTTGAAGCAAAATATTATGCTATTAGCGCAACATTATTTTTCTCCTCCAGAATTCGTAGGCACTTCTGCGTTATAAACCTTTTGCAGGCTGTTAAGCACATCTCCTTTCTTCACATCAAAAAAACACCCAAGCCAAAATCAAAAAGAACAATATACCTTCAATGACTTTCAATCTCGCAGAGGCGTATGTTGCACCATACTTGTTTTTGGTATGGCAGATGTAGGTGCCTTCATCTGATTTTTTGAGGCCTTGAATCTGCAGCCAGCCAGTCACACCGTACTTCTGAGGTCCACCTCTGGCCTGTGAGAAGGGAAAGAAACAGTCAAAATTAAATGGAAGTCAGGTAGTTAGGAAGCAAGAGGATATTTCTAAAAATAATCGTGGCCAGATTTATACATCACTGCAAATTTTGCTTTGTTTACTATGTCCTGCCATCATGCTCTGATTCTGTGTTTGATTCTGCTGCCATATGTTCTAACTTTCTATTGTCTCTGTGCCTCTCAGTTCATGCTTTCCTTGCTTTCATCTTTAAACTGCTGCCCTCTGCAGCGCTCTGATTCCTGGTCTGCTTCTGTGTCCCAGCAGTCCTCCCGTCTCTTGTCCTGTCACCACTTCTTGCTGCAGCTTCAAAGCACTGACACTTACTCTCAAGCTCATCAATTTCTTTAAATAAGAGTGGCATTTGAGCCTGGGCCAAGCTCAGCGTCCAATTCTAACAGACATAGCATGAGCTTTCGTAGTTAGTCAAAATCAGTTTCCACTGACTGACTCCTGCCAAAGCCTTTTAATGGGGGGCTTTGTTTTCCAAACAAGTAATACAAGAACAAACCAGTTAAATGGTAACAGAGATGCTCTCATGCTCACTGACGAGACAGGTTACCAGGTTAGCCTCCGAGTTGACCACTGCTTGGATGTGGCTCCATGCACTGTTGTTTCTGAGCAACTGTTAAGTTCACTAATCCCACTCATTCATGCTATCTCTGAATACATTTCTAAATAACTCTAAATGACTTTTAATACTTTTCTTTAGGTTTTTCCTATGCTTTTTCTATCTATAATTTTATTCAGGTTGTGCTCCACGTCTGCTAAATCTTCCTGCTTTTCAGTTGTGTATCCAGAAAGCTAGATTTGTCGTAGTTCAGATCCTTTGTCCACTGGAGAAGGCACGCTGGTACAGACTCCTTCCTTCCTGCAGTCTGCAGCGTGTCTGGCTTTGTTAGCTCTTCTCCCCCAGAACGTTATTTCCATTAAAAAGAATTAACGTTTTGATTTAATTTTAGCTCCAACCTTTGGGCTGTTTCTGCATTTGCTCAAAGCCCATACCAATGCCATTCCAATCTCCCTTCAGACTAAAACACAGTATCCTCCATATAAAATGAGCACATTTCTTTGTTTTCCTTTTGAACACCTCAGGGACTGGACCCAGATGGCACATCTCCAGAAACAGCATCTTGCAAAGGCGAACTTTAGATATCTGCCAGAATGATGCTTCTGCATGAGGAACAGAAAAATAGCTGCCCACAGCCATCTTTCTCAGAGTGCACCTTCTTTTACACAGTAGCCTATTCAGTTTCTCAAGAACTGTACCCACATAAGGAGAATCTTCCCTTCTCCTGAAGCAGGACGGATGGTACCCACCCCATTATTCATTCTGCTTGGACTGCCACAGCAATGATCCCTGCACTGGCCAAAATCAGAATCCATAACATAATCATAGGGCCCCTGTAGGAAATTTGTTTATTGCAACAGCATGGCATCCTGTGGGGGAACTTCACCAACAAATCCCCCTACTGCTCACTGCAAACCATAAGATGTAAAAAATGCATTTTACCTGAACTGAGATGTGGGCGTCATCTCCTGGTAAAAACATTTTATTCCCCTTTTTTTTCCATTCAAGGTGTGGCATAGGATAGGCTGACACCTCACAGCCAAAAATGACATCGTTGCCTGTGAAATTCTGGACATCTTGGGGTGGCATAGAAATCACAGGAGCTGCAAAGACCCAACAGTATTGCTTTAGGAGACCGTGAGCGAAAGCCAACACAAAAGGATGTAACACCAGCCCTTGTTTTAGGTAACTTTTCCACCTCACATGTTTGGAAGACCAAAAGATTCCAAGCAGCTTTTAAAGCTCAGAAAACTTCACATCGCATTGAAGTGTGAACAGGTATTTTAAAGACTTGTTTTCAAGGATCTGCTTTCTCTGTGCGCATGGGCATGAAAGTTAAGATCAAAATTCAGTTTGTGCCATTATGGACTGGACTCAAGGCCTGTCAGTCTGGCACAAGCAACTCATCCAGACCTTCAGAGGAAGGTACAAGAAATTCGGTTAGCTTAAAAGATGAAATGCTGAGCTGACCTAAAGCTTATCAAAACTTGTTTAGTGGGTGCATCGCCTTGAAATTGCTTTGTTGTAAAGCCTCCTCTTCCATGTAACCCATGGAACTCAGTAACACCATTCATGGATTTCATGTTCATCCTCACTTGCTATCAATTTCAACTGATTGCCTTGTGTTAGGAGACATAAGCATTAAAAGTAAAGGAAATCTAATTATTTTATAAGGTTTTGAGTTTAGTGAAATTGTTAGATTTCCACTTACTTGCTTCCTATCATTATTTTACGCTCATCCTCCTCATCCATTTATTTACTGCTTCTTCAAACTATTCTTCTCCACTTTTTCCTGAATAAAAAGCTATCAACAACCACGAGAGGGAGCCAGACCAGGGATTTGAAGACGTTAAATAAACCATCACCTGATGCATTCAGGAACTCTTCAAATACATATCCATCCACAAGCATGTATCAGCACACTCCCTTTTAACAGGACATGATGTTATTTAGTAGCAGAGAAGAAAATAACTTCTTTACTCTCACTGCAACTCTGCTGTTCTGGAAATCTCATTGCATTTTCTCTCATCCACTTCTGGTCAGTGAAAAATGTTTTCTTTCTAAGGTATGTTTTCCTACTCTTTTTATTTTCATAATAGTTTTTAAAGAAAGAATTTATTTTCTGGGCCGTTACACTTGTATTTAATTATTGGTTGTATTTTGTACAGATGCTTAGGAACTTCTCCTAAACAATCAATATGTTTTCACTCAAAGCATTTCAGCCAGTGTGTTGGCACATATTTATGCTTCAGCAACTGAAAATAACAACATTTCACTCCACGTTTTGAAGCAGGGTTTCTAACGTGTCAGTTTTTAAGAACTGATACCTGTGCTGAAAATATCAAATGCACACAGCTTAAAGTTAATTGAAAAACAATTATACAGAAAAGTATCGACTTCCCAGTTATGAATTCCTCTTAAAACCCTCCCGATACTCTTTAAAAGTGAGGTTTTCAAACTCAGTAGGGTACCTGAGCCTGGACATGCTTGGTCTTTTGTGAAAACTGTACTTTCAGAGCCTGTATCTCCTTATAAAAATGCCGTGTTCCAATCAACACCGACTGGCTATTTTGCACAGGAGTTTTTTGTCCATGAGCACAGGTCAGACATGGCAACAACACAGTGAAATATTAAAACTCAGAGCATCTGCACTGCCCCTAATGGTGCAGCCGCCTGGTCAGGGATAGGGAAGACTGCAACTTCGATCAGACAGAAGTGCTTTTTCTGATTTGAACACACAACAAACACTTGTGACATCTACTCAAACTTGAAGTGCCTCCAGAAATAAATACTACAAACCCCGTGTGTCTTACAACACCAGTTTGCTGTGTGTGAACACAGAGAGATGAAGTTACGACTTATCAGAAGTTTACAAACTTCCTGAGTGTTTCAGAGTTTACGTTCAGCCAAATTCTCCCATCTGCATCTGCATGGTGTTTGTTTGCTTGTTTTGCAAAAGTGTGCTGTAAAAGCAAGTCTCCGCTGGTATGATAACCAGTTTTTTAAAACAGGGAAGTTCTTCTTAATAATTACAGACGGTGTTGTGTTGCCTCTGTGTACAGAAGTGAATGCACAGCAGTTGTGCCTTGCCTCAGACAATTCACATACAAACTATCCTCCTGTGTTACAGAATACATAAACCAGAAGCCCACAAGCCAGGAAAAGTCAGAATACTGCTTCACCTTTCATAATTGCCTTTAGCCAAACCAGACAATTGTGTAATAACAGGTTTTTGTTCCTTAATTCGTATTCATTCTTGTTAACCTGGATGTGAGTTGATGAAAATGGCAGAAAAATTGGTGGATTAGAGGTTTTTTGTGTTTGTTTCTTTTTTACTCTAAACGTTGAATTACTGTTTGTTTTTAACTTTATATGTTTAATTTAAGATTTTATGTTATCATGCGATACGGCTAATTACAGAGAGAAGCATTGCTGGTTCTTTACCTCATTAAGTTATCAGCAGGAAGGCTCTGAATGGGGATAGATTAAGCGTGGAGAATCTGTATATAATCACTGTACTTAGTAACCTTGGTAAATTATTAGATAAACCGATCAAAACTAGCATTTAGAAAGAGAAAGGCTTCCTTTCAGGGTTACTTTAGGGAGCTAGGCCTTTTTCTTCCCCTTTTTCTGGTTAGAGATGAAAGATAAAAGGCTGTGCTCTTCTGATGAAAGGAGTTTATTGTTATTTATTCATCGCTTGCTGTATACAATTAATCCTTTTGGCATCAATAGGAAACAGCAGATGCTTTGAAGGAAAAATAGCAAAACAAAGTACTTGGAGTTGACTGAAGGTTGTATTTATAGATTGGTACCAAAACCCCACAGTGTTCAGTGTTTATTTCTCATGCAAATTGCAGTCAGTGGAAAGCGAGCTCCATGGTGAGGAGGCTGCTGCTGTTGGAGCCAGGCTCCCTGTTGCCTTTTGTCATTGGCCACTGCCATGAAATAGCATAAATCACGGTGCACTTTCACATGCCCACTGCATGCTTTGGGTAGCTGCAGTGGCAAGGAGAGGGGGTTTACTGGTAGGCTGTTATGGAGGACCAAGACATGGTGCCCATAGGGTAACACCTCTGTGGCCCAGGCTCCTTTCATGTCCTAAATACAGCCTACAAAAGCAGCCCAGGAACAGCTGCTCTGAGAAGTGAGAAGAGGAGCACTGCTGCTCTGTCTCCTTGCTGCCTCAGCACACACCACAGGCCCAAGTGCAGATGCCACTGGGCTTGGACGCCAGCTGCATGCTTCTCTCTGCAGGAGCCAAGGTGATTTATTTTCTTAAATAAACTCTGCACAGCACTGAGATGGTTATGAGCATATGACCAGGCATCTGTGCAGTTCAGTAAGCTGAGTCATCCTAATAAATGCCTCAGTATTTCTGGAGAGAGGGTCCAGCCTTTCTGGGGACCAAGGGAAGTGGTAAAATAGACACTGGTGGTGATGCCTTTCTGTGGAGAAGCTGATCTTGTTCATCGTGCTTAATGAGCAGCATTACACACCTCAGAGGTAGCTCCAAGGCCAAATGAAGCTTTTTGGCTGGGTCTGTTTTATTAATTAGAACAAAACATTGCTTTAAGGTGTTCAGGCACACAGGCTTAGATCAGTAGCTATTTGAATGGCACTTCCAACTGAAACGTCCCTGAAAGGGTTGTGCTGCCAGAACTAGTGCTATTTTAATGCCAGATAAGAAAACATAGCTAAGGGCAAGCAGGCTTTTTCAGTCATACTATGAGCTGCTGTGCACTGAGTTTCCTGAATGTCTCTACAGACAAGTCTTAATTCCCAGCTTAGTACCTTAATGGCAAATAAGTGATTCTCTAATGGATGCTTCTTTTGCGACTAGAGAAAACGAGAAGTCTGGTTTTAGCTACTCATCACTTTTCCTTTTAAGCACTCAATATCCAGTGTCCATTCGATATAAGAGTGCAGCATATGGTCCAAATTGGAAGCAATAGATTGCCAGCAAGGAATGGGTAACGTGCACCTGAGTTACTTTCATATGCAGACCTTTGCCAGAGATACAATTTTGGATTCTGAAGTATGACCTATTTGTGACTCAGAAGCCTCTTTCACTGATATTTGAGAAAATATTTCCTTCTATAGAATGAAAACATTTTAATTCTATGTTCACCTGTTTTAGATGAAAGGTGCCCAGAGTAATAATGTAAAGAATGAGAGCAGCACATGAGCAGGAGGCAGTATTCCCTCTTACAGCCTGACAAGTCCTTTCACTAACAGTCACCACGGAGGGGCATTTATTCACTGTAAGTATCTTTAATAAAATTGTTTGTTTGATTTTATCCTAATATTTGGATTTCTATTTCATAGGTACCTCGATTTTGTGATTCATTAATTAGATTGCTTTGGATGTTTTTGTAAAAAGCATACATAGATCTATTAATTAAGTCCTATCTTCTTTTTCCTCTGCTTCACCATTGTCTATATATACATACAGATACATGCACATGAATGAAGTCTGCTTTCTCATCACTGTTTCAATATGATGTCAGTCTTCATATAATAATTTGCCCAGTCCTCCCAGACTATTTTATCTGTTCATCTACTCCCAATTACACATACAATTTTTGTAGAAAAATATCTCATATTCTGCTTTTTTAGTACAGATCTGGACCACAGATTTGTGCCTTACTAGTTGCCATGTGATATAAGATCCACTAAGCAAATACAGAGGCTTATTACACACAAGATTAAGTTACTGAAGCTAAGCTTCAGTTAAGCTACTGAACCACAGTTAACACAAAGTAGTATTGCAACAGAATAATGATAAGTAGAACAAAAATGCAGCACTAGTTCATTGAAGTTAAGACTGGCATCTAGTAACACGTTGCAGAATCAGAATGGCATCTTTTTTTAGTTAGAAAATAACTGTTACCTGATTCACATGGTCCTTTGTGTTTCATGCTGATATTTCTTTTAGTTGCATAAGCCTTGTTGAATTGACAGATGTTCTCATAGGTTTTCCCATCAGATCCGCAGATGCTTTCTTGAGACTTGCACACACACTGGGGTTCAGGGACTTCCCCAAACCTGGCTTCATCGGCATCCAACCTGCACTCGAGGTTATCCCCACACTGCCCATAAAAATGATTGCCCTGGTCCAAGTCACAGATCTGACCTTCCACATTCCCACATTCAGAACAGCAGCCACAGTGGTCCACTACGGTCCCAGCCAGACAGTCTTTTGGCTCAGAGCAAAGTGCCAAATCACATTTTCCACAGCTATCTCCTTCCTTTAAGAGCCTCCACCAGCCTCGGTGGTACAAGGCAGGGAAACTCTGAGAAACCTGCACCAGTACTACCAGCACTGCTGTAACCACCGGGGGCTTCATCTTGAGAATGTAACGAACAAGCAGAAAAGGTCCTTGGAGTAAAGCCAGGGGAAAAAAAAAAAGAGCTTGTGAGAGAAAAACGTCACAATCCTTTTTTGTTTTAGAATATAAATTCTCCTGCAAGCACAGGCTTTAAGAAGAAATTAGCATCAGATTCCTAATCTGGAATTGATAATAAAAATGCATACAAACCCACCAGCTTTTTCCTAATGCAGTTTGGAATGTGAGTATTGCTTGCATGGAAACCAAACTGCCCCTTCTGACAGCTCTCTGAAAAGCTGTTTGCTCATTGTCTCCTTGAGCCAAATTTGCAAAGCATTGCTCTACTGAAACAACATTATGTTGCAGCTGTGTAGAAAAGGGAACAGCATAAGTTAGTGCAAAATGAAGAAATTAACCAGTAAGAGTATTTTATTTTAAAAGAGGTTAAAAAATAGATATAGAAGTAGACAGAAAGTAGCATCTATGTTACCAGCACCCTGGAGCTCAGCTGGTACTCTAGAGACCAGAACAAGGTTTAGCACCAAATTTCACCTTTTAATGATCTTATCTAGAGGTTTATGAATTAGAAATTTACTTACAGGCTCTTTACAAGCAAGTAACAAGCCAGGACATCTGAAACTGACTTTGAAGTCTTGGATTTGAGAGTATGGGTGCTTAGACCCAGTAAAGAACCCATTGTTCTCTGTCCATTTATCTTTTTTTCAGTATTTATGGGTGTCTGTGGTTTGCAACCCAAAATAATGCAGTCCACATGTTTGGATCTTGAAACAAAGTCCGAGTGATGCAGGACATGTGCCAACGTAAGCAAGCTGCTGCATCTTCAGTCGTACCAGAAAAAGGCTTTGCTGAAGTTAGATACGTCACTTGTTTTTTCAGAGCACTTTTCTGCCTGTGTTTCTTAAGATGTGTTTACACCACTGATTCATGAAGGATGATGAAAGAAGTTATGGTGATTTCTTCTCCGTTTCATTTGTGCCTAAATTTCTGCCGGTGTAGGGAGATGGATGTGCAGTTGTTTCTAACCAAGTGTTGTGCTTTTCTGCACAGACCTGGCGATTTAGGCATGCTCCTTAGCATCCTGCCTCATATCAGAAAGTCCCCCTTCCTCACGGTCCCAAGAAACTTCAGTTACCACTGTTCAAACTATATGCAGCTCAGTGGGATGCATCTTACTATCTGTTGGAAGTAGAGGTGAAGCATGCTGGACTTAGAGAATCTGCAAATATGGCTCACTACCACTGCCTGCAAACGTCTTTGTGTGATTGTTAGTTCAAGACAACATTTTCAAGACATATGCATAAGATGCTGTTAAGAAAGAGTAAATGAGAGAGAAATCACACTTGTACCTACTTGTCCAAAATGTTATATACAGGTAGCTTTTTCTTCTCCTTTTATGTCCATGGTGCTGTGACTTAAGCCCCGTGAGTGAAGCATTTTGTTGTATAAGGCTTACACCTTTTAGCTGCATCCATAAAGGCAATTCCTGTAGGGAAGTGTGTTTACTTTCCATCCAAAACATATCCATGGCTTTTCCCAGGTTCAGCTTCGTACCTTCTACATCACTCGTGCCTCAAATGGTTTAAGATCACTTCCTTCTCCCAGACTGCATATAATGCAATTTCCCAGTATTATATGGGAAATATTCGAGCCAGCCTGGAGTGACCTGCAGGACCCTTGTCAATGCTGAGTGATGCCTGGCCTAATTCATTTTCTGCACTGTATGCTGATTCTGAACAGAGAATAAGACTACAAAGGAGTATGGTATGTGTGTAATTGATGCTTTTAACATTGAGAAGCAGCAAAAAAAAAATAACCAGTGAGCTTAATGGGAAATTGATTTCTTGTCCCACTTTCTTACTCTGTTTAATGTGTTTTATTTCACACTTCCTTGTCAAATTCTTATTGGACATCTAGATTTGCATTATAGAGTCTAGTTATCACTGTCTATTTTATTGTTTCTGCGTCTGTAGGGAAGGAGTAACTAAAGGATAAGGATTTGCCAAGACTCATAAAGTAAAAAATGTTTGTGGAGATGAAACAATACATACAAAGTGAAGCCTTGTTTTTCGCAATGATCCTGCTTCACCGAAGCTCTAGAGTCACAACAGACTACTTTTATCTTTGCATCCACCAGGTGCAAGGACTTTTTTCTTGCATTTTACATGTATTATTTTGGGTTATAGTGCACTAAGATAGAAAGTTGCTCATTCAGGCATTACACACAATAGGAATTTGCCAAAACGGGGAAAAGCAGCTAAAAGTCAGCCAACAGTCACAGTGATGAAGCTGATGATGGACAAATGAGGAGAAAGTAAGCGGGCTATGACCACCAGAGGCCACTACCACACATACCCAGAGGAACATTAGCTTATATTAATGAGTTCTTGGAAAAGAATGAATATACATGCCAATGTATCACATATATATATCTTAACTTTTTAATGTAAAACTAGTGCACTTGATTTGTCAAGTCATCCCATATGTATAATTAGGAATAAAGGAATGCTGCTAACACCACATTGGAGAGTATTCTCCCCAGATTTCAGATGACACATGAAATGTGATGTGAGGGCTGTAGAACATCAGTGTACCAAGAAGTACTTTCTGTGCCCCAGCATTTAAGAAACCCATCATAAATATCCTTGAAAATATTTTGTGCATTATGCAGTAACGTAATGTGAGTTCTTGGTGGATCCACCTACAAAATAAGAACTGGGCATACCTGAGGCCTTACTTGAGCAGCTGCCACTTAGTAATGATCTGCAGCTGAAAGTTATTTTGGCCACTGATTCCTGAATTCACCTGGGAGAAGCTGTGAAGGGAGGGGGTGAAATAGTGTGGTACAACATAATACATGAGGTACACACTGACACCTACTAAAATGTCTTCCATAAGCAATGCCAGCTGTGATGAATTGAAAACAGTGCTGTAACTCCCTACTACCTAGGATGGATATGTGACAGAGTCTGAGCAAATGGGAGAAAGGGAGAAGCAAGGAAAAAGAGGTGGATGCGCAGCCTGGTTTGAGTGGCACATCCGAGGCACTGTCACATCTAGTTCAGTAAGAAGATACCCATTATTTCAATTTGTCTTTCAGCCCTGAAACTTGCTTTGGTGGAAAAAAGCATTGAGAATTAAGTCCTGAATTATCGTAATTCTAAATTTCTCCCTGGCTCCAAAACAAAACACAATCAGCAATAGATCAACATTGCTGGTGAAACAGCAAGACCAGCACTGCAGTCTAGTCTCCATTTTGCTGTAAGTGAATTGTTAAGGAAATTGTATTCCTATTCATTTCCTGCTTTCTTCTTGGGGCCAGTGTTATGCTAAGCTGCTGAGTTGTATTGCTTTATTCTACTTTGCATAGTAATAGGTGAGGTACATGGCTGATGCAATTTGAAATCCTGTTGCTAGTGATTCCTGAAGTACTGCTTTTTCAAGCAAAATGTGGTTCAGATCTTCATCTTGTATTTATTTGTATCAGCAGGAATTTTTCGTAACTAAGGGTTTCTGAAGTTGGTTCCTACCAGACTGTCAGATCTGTTTTCTACACAGACACACACAGGAACCGTGCAAGGAATAATGGCAAAATACCAAGTAATGAAATTCCCTTCTATTCCCTCAATCCTGCAGTGGTACCTCTTGTTAAACAGTTGAAGTTGAGTTTGAAAACTTCAGTGTTCCATCTCTTAGAATGTATTAAGAACCCATGTTTGAGGTTTCTTAGCTGACTCAACATGTTTCTAACTGGGAAACCTTACACGTTATTGCACACGCACATAAAAGAAGCATTAAAGAAGATGACTGTCATGCTGGGTAGCAGCAGATAAGAGATAGCTATGCCACTGAGTATGCGTATTATCCCACGCTATACACCAATCTCATAGCATAATTTTTCTCCTTTAGTTTTCAACATTGAGCTTCAGTTACGGCGTTCAGCTCTTTTGAAAACAGAATTTGTTTTCATAGAAATGAGTGGCAAGTGGTGGAAAGTAATGATGACAGATTAGCCAAAAATAGTTGGATGCTGTTTGTGGGCTCCCAGCAGAAATGCTGACTTGCAGCAATACAGGCAATCCGGGGATCTCCAAGCATGTTCTTTGGTGCTGATCCTATTTGCTGACACGTTGCTTTCGTGAATCTCATCATTAGTGCTGTAAGCACATGAAGAATAAGTTAATTCTACTGTAACATGATTATTAAATCCATTAATCAAAGGCAGGATATCCGTAATTAACTTATTCTCCAGCATCAAGTAAATGATTCTACTGTGAGCTTTAAGAAAGCAATTGTTCACAAATATGCAAACATACAGTGGGGCTATTAGACTATAAGGCTTGTGTAATTGTATAATTAAATTATAAATTTTGCATATTTTAATAATGTAACATATATTTTAATTATGATCTTTGCAAGGTTAAAATGGGAGGTCATTATTTTTGCTTATTTTTAGTTCTTACATCCCACTTAGAAAAAAAATGAAAAATAAAATTCATGTCTGATTCCTGCCTGAAAGCTGACTGTGTTCATCTCAGGCGTAGGCAGGGCTTTTGTTGACTCATTAGATCTGTCTCTACCAGTGGCTGCCTACAGATTTTTGCTGTGTCACACTTCAGCATCATCACTGCTGGTACTGTAGGCATTCAAGTTTCAACTTGCAGTAACAGAAGAAGTGCCTGCTGGCACTGTTCAAGCACCAAAAGCTTGGGTTGGATTAATGCAGGTTTACTGACTCTTTTTCACACAAATAAGTCTGAAAATTCCTTTACTCAAGATAGTCTTTCCTTCCAAGGGGGCAAATACTTCAAGGGTTCTTTTCAAGTCCGTTTCACTTCTCTGCTATGGTTTAAGAAAACCAAACTTCTGAAAGCTTTGTAGTTTTACTCAGAAATACTTGAGATTCCTGTCCTGTAAGAGGAAGGTGATAATAGACAGATTTAGAGAATCAGCACTTAGTTATAAAGTGTTTTTCTGATGTCATTCTTTTGAAAGCTGAG